GAGATATGATTGCAGTTTATTTTGCCTATGGCTTCAGAGGCAGAAAATTAAAGATGTATCTCTATAAACCACTGCAACTGCCCACACAGATTCAAAAATTGGGGTGAAAGGATTTCTTTGCTTATACTATTCTTGGTTCATAAGTTGTGACCATGTGTAATATTTCTTTCTTGCTGGAGTTGAAATGGTTTTTAAGAGGTATGAAAAGCAAAAATAAAATAAAACAAAATAAACCTCCATTTTGCTAGGCAAAGGTAGGCACATCCTTATCATTTAAAGAGAGATAGGAATAATAAGATTATAGCCTGGGCTTCACACATGTTGGCTTGCTTAATCAGAGTAATTCTGAAAGCTATAAGTAAGGAATAAGAGAGCATCTTCTAGTTTCCTTTAGAGTAGGTTCCCAACTGCGGCATTTTTACAGACCTTCTTAGTAGATGACTATGGCTATAATTTATACAGAGCCAGCAAACACCCTTTCCAAAAGAGACCGGATTAGGAGCCTTGCAACAGAGGTAGTTTTCAAATAAACTGTGTTCTTTAAATGATTGTTTCCCATTAAGGAACTTATCATATTAAGGCTCCCTTCTGTCTATACCTCTATTACTATGCAGTCAACAGAAATGTAAACTCCTGATCTCTTCCCACAGACCCCATTTTCTTCTTGTCCACATTACCAGAGAATCTAAAAATGTCTCGTATCCAAATACCTCAAGGGTCCGTGGTTTAATGGCAATTTGTGCCATGGAAGGAATACTTTCAGTGATGAAATGATAAGTTTACTTGAAGTAAACAATATTCCATATCTTATGCTATCACATGATTCCGTGGACTCTTGTTTTTGTAACTGTAGTTGGCTCATGGATATACTGAATCTTAGGAGCATTGTAGGTAAGTAATTCTCAAACTAATTGACCATGGAACGGCTTGAAACTCAAAATCAATTGACAGGATCCATCAAAGCTGGCCTCCCATCAATGTGAACTTGAAGATAAATGGGGATCCTGGAAAATTGGGAGCAAAATAAATGTAATTGAGAAAAAATACTGTAGGTTATATTTTTGATACTTGGGGATGAGGCCCAGCCTGTGGTTTTATTGACATACTGAAATCTTTGATAAGGAAACTCCCTCTCCCAATGTAGGCTGGTACTTTCTCTACAATTTATAGACCTAGAGTATTGCCTGTGGGCACCGAGAAGCTTAAGTCACAGCCAGTATGTTTCAGAGTCAGGACTTAAACCCAGGTTTTCCAAGCTCTAGGGCCGGTACTCTATTCACTGTGCCACACTGACTCTCCTCCTGATACATATTTTAAATAACTAAATAATATCTATAGCATTAATATTTTTCCTTTTTTTTAATAGTGTGTTTGACATCCTTTTCCTCATGAATTACAATTTGGAAAATTTTGCTAGTCGTCTATTTCTGATGCTGGTAGTCTATCATTGGATAACATAGAGCACAGCCTCTTTTTTTTCCCCCCTTAGAGAACATTAGGGGATTGTAAATACTTGGGACCACAACTTGCTGCAATACTCATGAATGAGTGATATGGTGATTAAAAAGTTACAAATAACCCTGAAAATAGTGACTTGTAAAATTTGTGCAGTATCAATAACAATACATGCGAAGCATCGTGCATTCACAACTATTTTGATCATAAAAATTATGTCGATGTACTTAGTTTACTTACAGTTTATAAAAATAACATCCAGGAGTAGTTCTGAATGGCAAAGGTTAATCTCTAGCTCTAAGCATAAGCATTAGAAGATTAGATTATAACGAGAAAGTGCAATGGGTAATTACAAAATGGACAGAGCTTCCACATAGCCTCGTGAATTTGGTGTGCAAGAATGGCTATACATATTTGCTTTGACAACTCTATTAGAGTAATTTAGGAGCAACACTTGTTACAAATAATTCTATTGCCTACCACACAGGGTACCACCTGGGTTTTGAGGAAATGAGCAAGGATGAGTTAGGCAAGGAAATAGACAAACACTAGAGTCTTACTGATGTATACAAAAAAGGATGGGCCTTTCCTTCTTTTTAGACAGCCCACAGACAATTTTCAAGGAACTCATGAAAGAGCAAAACGCACCACTCTTTAACAAACAAACAAACGGTGGTTTGGTGTGTCTTAGTGATCCCTAAAGGAAGATGAAATTGAAAAAAAATCCAGAAACTTTTATCCAGATCCACTAAACAATTGCTTAAAATAAATTATTTCTTTCTAGCTAAATGGAAATATCTTTTTGGGACTCCAGTGCATACTTTCAAAATAGTGAAACTCATTTAGTATTTTCCCAATGAGATAGTAATAGCCATGAAAACAAAATCATATCTCCTACAAATTAATTCCTCAAAAATTTTTCTTTTTTTTTCTTCTTTAAATCTTGTCCCATACCCTGTGAATTAAAAACAAACAAATAGCAAACAGATGACAAACTCTTACTTTTAGATAACAAGCTAAAAATTCTGAGAACCAAGTGCTCTTGAACTGACTGGAACATATCACATTGGAAGAGTGGGAATAGAATTTCCCCATTTGTTTTTTCTTTTCCAGTAGGATGACTGAGGACATATATTGGCATCACATAGTTATTAGTATGAATACTAATTTTCAGACAGGAAGAAGGAAATGGAAATACAGTCCTGAGAAGGCAAGGAGACATACATGCAAGCTACTGAAAGTGGTAAAATGTAAGGGGAAGACGCAAGATTATGTTTCCATGTTTTAGGATCTTTTAAAATATCCAGTAAGTGGGGCACTTCATAAATCTCTATTTCCTAAAGGAGATGGAAGGAAATAATAATTGGTCAGATTCTCTTAGTGCTTAAGTTTCTTCCTAGGGCTGAGTAAGACACGCAGGGAGTTACTCTAACTCATAGAGCAAGTGATGCTATTTCAATAAATTATTGCTGCAGTGTGCTAAGGGGCCCCACTTTGCTCTGGAAGAGCTAATGTACCTCCCAAAGTGCCATCTAGGTCGTGACTTAAGCAACGAGAGAGGATTGGACAGAATTCTGAGGCTGTAAAATTATGAAGGGAGACTCTATAATAAGACTACTTCTTTCTCTTATTTGTCCGCTGAATAGAGGAATACTACGGGAACCCCTCTGTTGAATTTGGCAGGATGGGAAACTGAACCCTGAATGAATAGTCATTAATATGCTTTGCTCCTAAGATCACTAGTCTTCTTTGCATATGGAGCTTCTGCTGAAATCTGTGGTAGAAGTCACATGAATGCTGACCCAAGGAGGCAAGCTTCTGCAGAATGGACTGCCCAAAGAAAGAGGTTGGATATTCAATATCTTCTCTCAGCTTATCACCTTCCATCTTTTATACATAAACCAGAGTTGGGGGAAGACATTGGAAATAGAAGACAGTCCATTATGAATGATCTTCTCCACCCTCCCACCCCCCAATCAGAGACATTCATGGAAATTCTTTAGGAGTTTGTATTTCAAATCTGTAACTATGATGTAGAGATTTTGCCTGTACCAAACACAGACACCTCCAGTCAAAGTTCTTCATGAGGCCAATGGCTTAAGTACCTTTGACACAAATCCACAGATTAGGTGAATGACATAACCCTACCCCTAAATAATTTTTTTTTCTAAATATTGACTATACGATCTGTGCCTCTATAGGTGTGATTTGGAAGACATTGCTCGTTTATTAGAAACTGGATGTACCCGAGGAAGGAACAAGCAAACTCCCTTCGTTAACCTTAATTTTTGCTTGGAATGTTTTCTTATCTAACAGGTACATACTCGTTTTGGAGAATGCTCTCTTTTCTCCTTTAAATCCTGAGAAGCTTTTTTCTTGTCAAAGATTCGCATTCTTGTTTACTAGTGTTTGGTGCTCATGAGTTCCTCAACTTCTTTTGAAAAGGCTTCAGCCAGAATTGAATTCTACTGTAATAGTCTCCAAGGCTCTCCCCTTGTTTTTAGCTGCACGTTGCCAATCAAAGCACAGAAACAAAACCTTTTCCCATGCCAGAGAAGTGAAGTGCTGGATGATGTCACATGAGATGGGAGTTTGCTCAGTCCTGCCTAAAACTGAAATCATTTTGCGGCTGGGAGTATGGCAAAAGGCATCTTCTAGTAATCTCCTGTTATTGGAGGTGCAAAGCTAACCCAAGGAAGCACATTGCAGACTCAGTTCTGTCTGCTAGTGAGGCAAGCAGCAGTGCACCTTTAACCAAATGGACTTTTCCGCTGCATGGAATCTCCTAGAAAGAATTTGGCAACTGCCATGGCCATCTACCACCTGCGGAGATCTGTGATCCCCTGTGAAAGTGGCCCAACTGAGATACAATTTACAGGTTATAAAGACAATGATATTGTAGGAAGCTATAAAGATGGTACTGAAATAGGTATAGTGACTGTGGCCTGGTTTAATTTCACATTCACGTTGATGCAAGGTATGTAATAAAGTTAACAGGTATTAGAATATTTTATGCTAAGATTCAATTAGCAGGCTCATGATGAGTGGTGAAAGTCCATTTTACTCTATTTTCCTTTGCAGGTTGCCCAGTTTTCTGTCTCTTTGCCTACATTCACTACCTATATTCCACAGCAGGACAGCTTTACCATCTACATCAAAGAAGACGTTGTAATTGTGGTGTACACACATTCACACACGTACATACACACATATACATATGTTATGGTCCATATGAGGAAATCTGCCCATTTGCAGATGGTATACCTATCTATAAATGGGCAGATCACCCTGCCCAGATGGGGAAAACCATTTAAAGACCATTAAAAACCATTAAGACTATTAGCTCTGCTTTGGGATAAGAAAAATAACAAAATCTCTGACCAAGTGGGTACTGCCTTTTTCTGGCATCAGAAGACATTTGATGTAAGGTTTTCAAAGACTGATTGCCTCACAAATACTTTCTAATGCATTCATTGTTTTGTTTATTCTGCTTATCACAAGTCAGAGGTAACTCAGCACATATTAATAATTCTCCTTCAAAGTATATTAACCTTTCAGCTGATTTTGAATGGCCCTGATTTTCTGTACTTGGGCAGGGCCAAAGTGGACAGTTGCAGAAAAGGTCAGTATGTCTGCAAATGGACACTTTCTTCTGCATGGATCACAATATATATTAAATACAAATACATGTATATGTATATATCATGTATATACATATAAACATATATATATATACACATACACAGAAAATGAATTGGGAAGTCCTTTGGTTTAGACTTGTTTAAGTATCTACTTCCCAAATGCATAGGTTTCCTTTGACCAATCTGTTCAAAACACAAATATGAAAAGTGCCATGGCAAATTTGATAATTCCTTCATTTTTCCCCCTTCCCCTTTAGGGTGCTCTTTCCCCACCACCAGCACTTGTAAGTCTTTTATCTTCAAAAATAACATTTTTTTTGACCTTCCATCTTAATATATTACTAATTCACAGATTCTCTTGCAGAGCTTCACAAATGCTTCCCAAAACTAGTGAAGACCAAGGTTCCAAAGAGAACTTCTCTTCTGAAAAAAAACAAACAGAAAACCCAACTCTTATTTCCTCCCTCCCCAGAAAAAAACTGGCACTTTGATGTGTTGTGAATAATCCACTCTGAATCTGGCTTGCCTTGTTACATTTGGCCAGCCCAAGCAGCTGAGGTCTGAGCTTCCCTGCATCTCTGTGCGACATTTGGGGAAAAAAAAGGTAATTCGGTTTGTCTAAGCCTCTCAGACAGTTGTGACATGATCAGGATTCTCTTGGATTTCTATGCACTCGATTTCCTCCCTCTCCTTTCGTTTAGCACGTTTCTTTTTCTTGTGGTGCTTTTTGGAGGGGGGGAAGAAAGTTAGGAAAACAGGTAAGATAACAAAACAGTGCAGAAGCGTGCAACTCCCGGTGAGCAGCAAGCATTTGAACAGTGTGAAGGTCAAGTTCGAAGGCACAAACAGGAGGGGGACCAACCCAATAATAAAAGAAGTAACATTTTGCAAAATGGCTGTCCCGTGCTCTTGTAGGGAGCTTTTGATACACTGAGTTCGGGTGTGCTCAGTTGCTAATACAAATGTGTAAAGCAGGGGTGCACAGTGATCAATGGAAAAATTTAAAGTGTAGATAAGGCACAAGATAGAAATGCAATCCATGTCTACGTTCCACAGCGTCATCAAGCCCAGAACACCCAGCTCTATTGAGGTGACACTGAGAATTAGCCAGAAGTTTCCCAGAGGGTGGATCACTAAGAAGAAAGTTAAAATTAACATCAGTAGGACTCCAAAGCCAGCAATCAGGACAGGCATGGTGACAGACAAGCCATAGTGATCCATGAAAACAAAGGATGGATTGAACACAATGAACCGAATGCTCTTTGCCAGAGACAGGGGCCTAAGTTTATCGAGTACTTGTATTACTTCCTTCTGCTTGTCTCTGCTAGTTCTGGCCACCAGATACAAGCGAGAAGCAATGATATTGCTTTCATCTCCTGCCTTGGAGAAAATGATATCATTTCGGAAGTGCTGGAACTCTGGCTTTTTTAAAAAGGAGTTTTGCAGGACACTGATGAAGTCACTCTTGTTACTTGCACTGATGTTGCTGACTTTCAGGAACTGGTAATACTGTTCAACCCAAGACACTGCAGTGAAGCCACTACACAGCCTTCTTAAGTCTTCCTGCACGGTGCCGTTCCAGTACTCAAGGGGCTCATATACATAGAATCCAATCACTGGACTGTAATTGCTAAAGTATTCTTGCTGTAGGATGGCATAGGAGACGCTTGGGGAATCACTGGCAAGCAGGCTGATGATATTAGCCCCATCGCTGATCTGCAAACAGCCCATAAAGGAAAAGGAAGCATAGATGAGATAGAGGATAACAACAAATGGCTTCACATAGATGTTTGTGATCCATTCATTGTAATGTTCCCGAAGAAAATGCTGAATGAAGTGGTTCTGGTAAGGGTTGGTCTCATGATGAGAAGTTTGTTGATGACCATCACTCATCACGGTCTGGAACCAGACAGGCTTACGATCTAGGTATTCTGCAGAAGGAATTTTGCAGCAGAAGATGCTATGGTAACGGTTCTGCTCTAGTTGGCCAGCAAAGACCAGGCAGGAGCCAAAGAAAGAGAAAATGTAGAAGTAGTTCAATAGGATAGAGACACACATGTTCTGACAGAAGACCTTCACTGCCTCAATGTTGGTAAAAGGGCTGGCACCCATACCAAACGTAACGAAGTACAAGGAGCTGGTCATGGTGTAGGTAACCATCACATCAGAATAGGCATCAGCAACCCTGTCTTTGAAGGGCAGGTTCTCTCTGGTTCTCCGCCATCCTGATAGAAGCTCAAATACTCCCTTTGTTCCATGACCTACAAATAACAATACAGAATAAATGAATACCAATTCTTATTCTGGAGTTCAAAGGTTCTCAAACCTTTCTCACTCATGCCAGAGTATTATTTTCTGCCATGAAGACTCATGGCACACTGACTGTTTAAGATGTCAACGCTGTTCAGGAGAAGTGGGAAGCTTGAACATGCAGAATGCAAAGATTAATTCTATACAATTAGTGGGAGACTTACACATACCCAGGTGATTGAAAGTATAAGTTCCATACAATTCATGGAAGGCTCCTGCAGTGCACACATGAGAATAATAATAATAGCTAGCGTTTACATAGTGCTTTAAGATTTGTGAAATGCTTTACAAATATCTCGTTTTATTCTCAAAACGATCTTGGAAAGCAGATTATAAATTGACCATAAATTCCAAATACTTTGGAGTGTACCTGGTATACTATTGTGGGGTATACCTTTGAGAACCTTGATATAGTTTGAGTGAATTCTTGGTGGATTGGTTATGCTCAACATTAAGCTTAGGTTTGAGGGTAGGGTTAGCCTTGAGCTTCAGAAGTCCTGTATAACTGGTTATAGATTTTTGGCTCTCCTGGCAAAAGTCTCTCAAAGTTGATCTACCAAAACAAGATACTTTCTATGTCTGAGTTGGCAAATTCTAAATTCCTGTGACTATAGGATGCAATGAAGTACTTATGTATTCTATGCTTTTGGTATTTCCAGTATACAGCCTCATAAAGTTATTTTTTCCCCCATCCATACATCCAAACTAAACATGTTTTGAATTCCTTAAAGGAGGAAATGACTGTTTTAGACTTCTTTGCATCCTTTACAGTACTTAAAACAGTGTTGTATGTATATGAGGTACATAACAATAACTACAACAATAATAATAACTCTTCTATAGCACTTTACTGTTTGCAAAGAATTTCCCTTAAACCACTCCAGTGAGGTGAATAATTCCTAGTCTTATAGATTCCCTATAATTAAATTAAGGCTAAGATAAATTCCTATTAGGATTTCGAAGTTGATGGAAACTTAGAAATTTTCTTGTGCAATTCCATAATTTGACCTAGAAGGAAACTGAGGTCTAAAGACAGAAAAAAAAAAGATTTGCTCAAAGTCATATGAATGATAAGTGGGGGAGCTAAAATTTAAATTGAGATCTTTCATCTCCACATCTAGTGCTATTCCTACCCTAATGGGGAACATAGCTCTTGTCTTAGCACTAGGACTTAAACCCAAGTCTCTTGACTTCTGGTTCATCCCTCTTTCTACTATGCATTTCTTCCCTCAACCTATCTTTTCAAAGGTGGACTCTATGAAGGATACCTGAGTTGCCTCACTTAGGAAACTGCAAGGGGATGTTAACCATTTCAAAAAAGATTGAAAATGTTTAACTTTCCATTTTTTCCCATGAGAAATAAGTACAGAAAATTGACTGGCTGACAAATTTCCATCTTCATGGAGTTAGAATTATAGGCAGTAAGCAACTCAGACAGGGATCACATCTACTGCTTGTTTCATGACCATCGAACAGCCTGGGTCTGGAAGCACATATGAGGGCAGTGTTTTTAAATGGTTGACAGATGAACATGACTCATCCATATTAATTCATGTGTTCTTGCTGATCTGGCTTCTAAGAATTTTTAGCTTAGATGAGTAGGTATTTGTTTTTAGGGCTTTGATGAAAGAAAACGTATGCATATATACATACATATTTATACACATATGAAGTTGTTGCAAGAAACCAAAGAAGTACCATTCTGAAGAAAAGGGTTTCTTTTCTATAGTCTGTCACTTGCCTCCCACTGAGAACGTAATGCTTAGCTTATTAATACATACTCATTTCATAGAATTTAGAATATTAAAGATGTATAGAATATTAAAGCTTATAGTTCAACCCTTTAAATTTACAAAGAAAAAACTGAGGCTCAATGAAATAAAGTAAGTAGCCCAAGGCAAAATGAGCAGTAGAAGAACAAGAAGTATAGCCAGGTACCCTGATTCCTAGTCAGTACTCTTTCCACTAGCGTTGATACTTATTTCAGGGTTGAAAGTGAACTTGGGACTATTTCCCCTCCAATCTGACTAGCATAACACATACACATACACAATATGTTTACAATTGCATCCCACTTTTATAAACTAATGGAGTATTTGACACAAGGCATTATTGCAGTTTGGCCCTCGGGACATTCAGAGATCTCACGGCTTAGAAGATACCCACCCAGAGAAGTTTATGGGCAAAGTAGGATCAATTACCAGTTTAAAGCAAGATCCAATACGTTTAGAAGAGGAAGATTAGAGAGGTTAAGTGACTTATTCAAAGTCACACAAATAGTAGTAAATAGCAGAACTGGGATTTGAATCTGCAACCTTTGATCATCCCTTGAAGATGTCTGAAAATATGATTTGAATTGCTGGATGACAATGGTAGGCTCTTGGCCAAAAATCCAGCATATGAAACATTTGTTAATAACAGTGGATTTTCCTGGAATTTTGACAACCTAATCAAGATTTTAAACAGAAAAGAAAATGGAGAAGTAAACTACGTATAAGTATGGTACAATGGGAATAATTCTAGAATCTGGTGACCTGGGTTCAAATTGAACCTCTGATGCTTAATACTTGTGTGATCTTGGGCAAATCGTTTAGCTCCAACAGGCCCCAGCTTCCTCATCTGTAGGGTGGTGGAGGACATGTGACTGGAGATAAAGAGATAGATATGAGACACAAGATGCATTGTGGAGTTAGGACTGACAAGACTTGGCAAGTGAGGGGATATGTGGGGTGAGGGAAAACAATGAGTTGACAATGAGCATGAGTGGTTAGAAGGATAGTGATGCTCTTAATGGAAATGGCATTTTGAAATAAGAATAGGTTTTTGGGGAAACATAATGAGTTCAGATTTGGACATGTTGAGTTTGAGATACTATAGCAAGGCCAACACATTTTAATAGTTTCAATATGTCCCATGGTTATTGTTCTCTGTAGTTTCTATGACTGTGTAAGTACATTATTTTTTTTAAGAATTTTTTTACATTTGAGGATGTAAATGATTCAATATTTCTTGCTACAGAATGCATACATACTTAAAATACACATTTCTATGTATCTGTATTAATATAGCAAGATATTTTAGGTAGATTAAAAATATGTCCTCTCTCTCCTATTTAATCTGGGCTAGAATCTCATACATTTAGAATCTTAAGGTGGAAAAGTGGTGTGCGGGGTTACCATAATCACTTTTATAAGGCTTTAATTCTACATATGAGAAAAACCCCCAAAAACTTAAGGTCATTTTCCTGGCATTTGCCATAGAGTTGCCATGTTTCCTGTAAGTGTTAATTGTCCATTTTTTTTAATTTTCAGTAAAAATATCTCCTCTTTTCATAATAACTTCATGACTATTGCTTATCTAGGCCCAGTTGGCCCCATTTCATTTGGCAAAAAAATAAGAGTTTTTATACCTCTTATATTAAGTAATCTTGAACAAATCAGGGAACAGTTTGCTCCCATTCTCTCATCCTCCTCAATCTGTTACTGCCCTTGAAAATCCTAAAGCCATTGGAACTGATGACATAATTGAACAGTGTAAAGAGAGAAAGTGACCCAGGGCAGAAACCTTTGGAAGTGGAGGTAGCAGAAAGCTTCCTACTAGTCACTATCCTGAAACTACCCCAATCTTTCCTCCACCCCAAAGGAAAGGGTATCTCTAATAAATGTCAGAGATAGGCTTTTCCTGTATAAGAAAGGAAAACTAGGTGCCATCTTTGGAGGTTCAATGTGGGAAAATGCCACACCATTATCCTAATCTGGAAAAAAGAGGTTTAGAGTCACATCTGCATTCCAGACATCTGTAAAACATAGTCTTCAATAAATCTTCTTTAGACAAACATGTGTTTTGTGAGGGTTTCTTTTCCCTATCACTAGTCTAGACTCAGGGTTACCACATAATAACTAATTTGGAGAAGAATTTGCTGCAAAATTAAGAGACTGAAATAGAGAAGAAATAAATTTTGGTTGCTGCTCAATTTTAAATGCCTTGAACTGAAGGAGCCCTCATTCCAATTGCTGCAGTAAGAGGACTTAATTTAAATGTTGACAGTAAATCTAGTTTGAAATATCCAATAGGTAGTTTGTGACATGGGAATGGGGCACAGGAGAGTCAGACAAGGGTTGAATATGTTGATTAGGGAGACATATAACTAGAGATGATAATTGAGACCATGGCACCTGATGACGTTGTCAAGAGAGTACAGAGAGCCAAATTTTTTTTTTTTTGGACCAGAGCCTTGAGGGAGACATCCACAGTTAGGGCATGTGGTATAGATGATAATCCAGCAAATGAGATGGAGGAGTGTTCAAATATATAGAAGGAAAACTAAGAGATTCAAATGACATGAAAATCCAGACAGAGTAGAACATCTAGTAGGAAGGAATCAAAAGTATAAATTGTAGGGAAACTCAAGTAGTATGTGGATTGGGAAAAGTCCATTGGATCTGGAAATTAAGAGACTTGTAACTTTAGAGATAAAAGTTTCAGTTGAATGATGAAAGTAGGAACCCAGACTCCAAGGGACTGAGAAGTGAGTGAAAGGAAAGTGTCATTACCTCATGACAGCTTTTTCTAGGATCACAGGATGATACATTTAGAGCTGGAAGGAGCCTGAGGTGTCATATAGTACAATCTTCTCGCTTTACAAATAAGGAAATTGAAGATTAGAGAGGTTAAGTGACTTATTCAAAGTCACACAGGTAGCAGTAAATAGCAGAATTGGGATTTGAATCCACAACCTGTGATCACATGTTTAGAGCTGGAAGTGCCTGCAGAGGCCATCTAGTCCAACATCATCATTTTACTGATGTGGAACCCAGAGAGATTAAAGATTAAGTGACTTGTCTGAGATCATGCAGGTTGTAAATGGCAGAACTAGCGTTCGAATCCATTTCTTCAGACCCCAGATAATACACACTCTCCGCTGGAGTTTGGGAGAAAGGAAGGAGAGTTA